ACTCGAATTTGGTAAAGATTTCCGAGCGCGTATTTACTTTGATGAGTTGAATTTGAATTTATTTACTAATAATACATAGAGTGCTGAAATAGATCAAGGAAAAAGAACTGCAACTGGAAATACAGAAGTTATTATTGGAAGTGTTCAAACACTAGGAAAGACAGGATCATCTCGTATCGAAAAATATGATCCATCCCATTTTAAAGCAATCATAATTGATGAGGTAATTGCCTTCGTTGTTTTTTTAAATTATTTTAATTTTTCTTATGGTTTTTCAATGCTTCATTTACAACAGGCTCATCATGCCGCAGCATCAACTTATCGTAAAATTTTAGAATATTTTGGCGCGCACACGAAAAATACTCATATATTTGTTTGGGGGTGTTCGGCAACAGTTCGGAGATATGATGGACTGGCTCTTGATGGCATTTTTGATGAGATTACTTATCACAAAGACTTCTTAGAGATGATCAAGGAGAAATGGTACACTACATATATAATGTAATGTTCTATTCGATCGTTTATATTGACTATAGATTGTATGTATAAAATGTTTAGGTTATGCAATCTTCGAGTAACAACAATCAGGACAGGAACTGATTTGTCCCGAGTAAAAAGTAACACTATTGATTTCATACCAACAATTCTTTCCAAATTGGTTAATGTTAAAAATCGCAATGAAATTATAGTACGAACATACCTTAAACTGGCTGGTAATTTTTACGACATTCCAATTTATGATACAGAATAACAATATCGTCTTATAATTAATAATTTTTTCAGAAAGTAGAAAATCTACGCTGGTGTTTGGAGTAGATATTGACCATGTAGAAAGTCTAACGAAAATGTTTCAAGAACATGGGATTAATGCTTATAGTATAACCAGCAAAACAAAAACACATAAACGCGCAGATATTCTGAACAATTTTAAAGCAAAGTTGTTCCCAGTTTTAGTTAACTGCGGTAATGTGTGTTATCTATTTTGTGCGAATTAAGTAAGCCGCTAATTTTTTATAAATACATCAATTCAGGTATTTTGACCGAAGGCATGGATGTTCCTACCATTGATTGTGTTATAATGAGCAGACCAACGAAATCACATGTGCTTTTCCAACAAATGATTGGGCGTGGAATGCGCATTGCAGAAGACAAAGAGGATTGCTTAGTCTTGGATTTCATTGATTCCTATTATAAAATTCCGGAGCTAGTTACCGCACCGACATTGTTTGGGCTGGATCCTACTGTAGAGTTGAATGGTTGGTTCGATTCTTTAACAAAATCACGAAAGATATATTTCAATTGACTTATGATCTCCTAGATTACACTCCCTCAATCAAAGAGAATAAGGGTTTGGAATCTAAAGAAAAGATCAAAATGGAACAACAGCTTCTATCAGATGTAGCCGACATAACAAAGATCAAAATTACAGAATATAGTAATCCATTTGAAATTATTGAGGATTGTTCTGGTGCTACATCCGTAGGTGCCATTTCTGAATTCGCGTGGCTTAGAGTTAGTCATGATATATACGTGCTATCTTTGTACGAAATTGGCACATTAAGAGTAGAAAAAGATAATCAAGGTATGCGATTTAATTATTTGTTGATGGCAGCATATACTTAAATTGACTGATGCTGAAAATTTTAGTACCACTAAAATCCACACACTCTTTCATTAACAACTCTAAATTCTAACGTAACTCAAAAAAAAAAAAAAAGGAAACTACAAAAAAAGCCAAACATTTTTCAAATTTCAAATAAAAATAGGTCAAATTTTCAGCATCAGTTGTTACCAGGGCACAAAATTCTATTGTAAAATGCCGGAGGTTCCGTTTAATTAAGTTGATTTCCGGCGTAGTTTAAAGCGGCCGGAAATTTTATAATATAAATATATTGCAGAAGTTTCTAAATTTCGTTTACCGAATAAAAGCAGGTTACGACACGCCAAAATTTTGTGCCCTGGTTGTTACATTTATTTTTGCCACAAATTGTTTGTTTATATTCACTTTCATCTTTATTTGTTTAATATAGGGATTTATCGTGTTAAGTTGCGTAAGAAGCAAGACAGATTTATAAATAATGTTCGTGTGTGTTTTAATGTTTTAGAAGATTTGCCCATACGTGGTGATTCATTGGAATCTGTTATACATGCATGTGACCAATGGGTCATTCGGGTTTCAAATAGAAGTGGTAGACATATTCGTGGCATTGCATTGCGTTATGCTAAGTGGCGTCAGAAACCTATAACAAAACAACAGATACAATGGCTAAAACAAAAGAAAATACCATTAGGTGAAGATACAATTAAGTCTATTAACAGAGGCCAAGCAACAAATTTAATGACACGAATACTTGAAGGTGCACAGAAAAACTGGAATTTGATCTTGAATGAAAGAGCTGCTAAAGAAAAAATTTTCCGGAAAAAAGAAGCACAAAAGGTGCGTGTAGGGCCTTTAAAATGTCCATAGGACTAAAGATTCATTTTTTAATGATAAACGAATTATAATGTATATGACATATATTGGCTGTACATAAAATATAAGACCAAATGCATCTGGCTAATTATAGTGCAAAAGATGTACAAGTCATTCTCGTTATAGTGAACCTCTTGTTATAGTGAAGAACAGTCTATATAAAAACCCTCTTGATATAGTGAATTTACTAGTAGATTCTCGATATAGTGAAGAAAATCACTCAACCCGATCACTACACTATAATGAGAGTGATTTGTATTACAATTTTACATCAATTTATAACATTTGATTCTTATTTCCAAAGTGGTATTGTTTTTATTTGTTGAGCATTAGGGTTGTTAATGGGTTGGGTTGATTAATCTTTAACCCACTTCATTAAATTGACTCGCTCTAAATTCCATTCCGGGTTGCCTATAGTTGACGTCAAAATTACAAGATCTCGCAATTCTGCATTTCCGCAATGCCGAAATACTGTAATTTGTCGAATTATTGTTGATTAACAATATAGATAAATGTGGCATTGCCGTGGAATGCCGCAATTTTGCTGTAATTCTGTAATTTTAACGTAAACTATAATGCACTAGATCTGCTCCGGGTTGCTTCAATTTATAGACATACTATTCTTAAGGATCAATGCTACCGACCATTCTTTACTTTTTTTATTTTGGAGCGTTTCTAAAGCGAATTAATTAAAATTTAGCTTTAGGTTAAGTTAGGGTAAGTATTATAGCAGTTTTGTATTTTTACTGTGCTTCAAGATAGATTTGGATCTTTTTTTTGTATTTTTACAATTTGATTGGATATTATTCAAATAAATAAAAAATGGTTTGGTAATATTGGTTATTTTTATTTGATTGGGTGATTGTGAAGTTATTGTTTTGAGTTGATTAAAATTTTTAAATCAATTTGTTAATAATTTGGTATATATTTAATTAATTTGATTTTGTTTAACAAATTATTACTGTATTACAAATATATTGTGTTACCAATTTTGATTAAATAAATTTTA